ACACACACACACACACACACACACACACACACACACACACACACGCATCTTCACCATCACCAGGGCAACAAAACCTTTACACTGAGGATGATGAGCATCAGCCTCTCCCTCTCGTGACGTCACCACAACGTCCAGGTCTCTGAGTTTAACAGAAGACCGTGAGATCTCAGGAGCTCAGAGAACTGCACCTTGTTGTCACTTCTCATGTGTTGTCATATTGTCTCGTGGTCTGAGCCYGTTCAGCAGCTCTGACCTCCCCCCTCCCAGAGGCGAAGAAGAGGAGGAGGAAGGCGGACCTCACATCAGCCGGATCCTGCAGCTCAGTAAGTCCGCACCTCACCTTAAATCCTCCCTGAAGGCTCGTTGTGTTTTTAATGGAGGTGTGACGTCATCGCAGCTGGCAGGCGTCGTTGGGAGCAGGTAACAGGTGACAGCGGTGAGTTGTTGGAATATTTGTTTTGCTGGCGGGTCGTGTTTATGAGCAGGTGTGTCCGGTTCCTGCTCAGGTCTCAGTCTGACACTTCCTGTTCTGGATCTGGACCGGGCTCTGCAACAACCAGGTATTTCAGCGGCGGATGATAATGTTTTTTTTCCCTCGTGTGCACGTGCGCGTGATCGTGTGTCTGTGTTAGCGAAATATTTTAGTAAAATTGAAATTAGTCAGTAGTATATACAGCGCCCTGCAGGCATATTTACATTCTTGGTGGGTGATAGAGTCTGTCAGAAGATAAAAAAAGAATAAAACAGTAAAAGTGAAAGTAGTGCGCATGTGTATTCACCCCCTATGCTTTGAAGCCCCAACCTCCAGGCACTTCTTTAGRTCAATRAGCTCCACCTGTGATGGATCAGTCTAATTTCAGTATGTTTATGTTGTTATCAACGTCATAAAAAACCGAAGAGACAGTGTAAAGGATCACTGGTCAGAGACAAACTTATTGAAATGTACAGATAAGGTTATAAAAAACTTCCTTGAACATCCCATTGAGCATCATTGATGATGATGCTGCAGAAAACCTGCTAAAAATGTCCTTCACCAAATCTCATGGACCAGGTCAACAGGACATTAATTATAGAAACAGAAAACCCTGATGGATCTGTCCACAGGACCACTACAAGCTGGAATAATGGAAAATGGAAGATTTTCCTCCTCAAACATTTGGAAGAAGGTGCTGAGGTTAGATGAGACAACCTCTTCTCATCATGCTCACAACACCACCTCCAAGCTAAAGCATGGTGGTGGCAGTATCATGCTTAAGGGATGTTTGACTGGTAAAGTGATCAGAGCTGGAAAAAAAAGATGGAAACAGAAAATCTTGAGTAGATCCAGTTYGAGTCTTTAAGAGAGCTGAGGCTGGGATGGAGATCCACCTCCGATAGACCATGACCCTAAACTGGAATCTCCAGTTTGATTTAAAGATTGTTGGACACAAACAGCACCATCCAACCTTTAGAAACTGCAGATGTTTGGACATGAGTCACAGGTAGAAGGACCAAGCTCATGGAGAAAGACTTGTGACCTGATGCAGGAACTGCTGCAGAAAGTGGCAACACGAATGATAAACGTAAAGAAGGGGTAAATACGTACAGCGGGTAAAATAAGTATTGAACACGTCACCATTTTTCTCAGTAAATATATTACTAGAGGTGCTAATGACATGAAATTTTCACCAGATGTCGGTAAC